CTTTCTCTCTCTCTCTCTCTCTCTCTCTCTCTCTCTGGCTCTTTCTGTGTCTCTGCCTTTCAAATAAAATGAAGGTAAACAAATAAATGTTTCAAATCTAACTACCCAGAATTAACATAAGTCATAAAAGATTCTAACATTTTTCTTTCCTATTATATGGATAGAAGAATGAATAGATGTTTAAATGAATAAAAGGCATAACTATGAACAAAATTCTGATAACTCTCTAAAGATATTACATAATAGTATTTTATTTGCAATTAAACAAAAAAACTGAGTAAAAGAATATATAAACTTTAAAATAACTATTTTTTATTATAAGAGACATGTGAGAAACAAAGATTCCCTCAAAGGTACAAAAAAAAAGTAGTAGCCAACAATAGGTTATAGACATGTTTATTTTTTAAATGTTTGGCAAAATTGATTGAATACTATGAAAGATAAGGATATAGCACTAGTATATTTCTTTCCATGTATCATCTTCTTGCCTTTAGATTTCTGTTCATTTTTTGGTTATCAGGGTAAAAGTAATAGAATAGTGTCCAGGACTGAAACTAGAGCTTGCTTCAAAGCAGTTGTAGACATGCTACATAGAAAATCAGCCCAGAGTATACCGGATCTGGAGCTTGCACTGAGCAAAATCAGAGGAAGCAAGAAACCAGAGAAAATATGTAACCCTCTTTGGAATACTGTGATGTTCCCTCTGAAATTTTGTTAAATGTCTGGTATGTAGTACTGAAATCTTTATTTTTAGATAATGATTTAGCACAAAATTTTGGAGGAGGGGATCAACAAATTTGAGATTAGTTACACAAATCAGTGTCCATTTGTTCCTGGAGCCTTCATCTTGATCATCTCTTGCTACATCTGTTTCTTATAGCAGCTGTTAAAAAGATGAAAAAAATAAGGAGTCTCATTCAGTTTGCATCTCTCTGGATATGGAGGTGTTAATGATATTTATAGCATTTTGATAATGCATCTTTGTGACCAGTATTAGAACTTCACAAGGCTGTACTTTGCTTCTGAAAGATCTTTTGTTTCTGTACTCAGTCACACAAATTCTGAAATTCATGACATGAAACTACAGTGTTTTTCTTCATTGATTATTGCTGATGGAAATTTACTTACTAATAAATATGTGAAAACACATGGAAATGATACACTGTGAGTGTGAATTTGCTGGAATACTAGACAATAGAATCAACCCTGTTTAGACACTAAGTGTTGGAATAATTAGATATAGCACATAAAACAACTATGCTTACTTATAGTGGTTTTTTTTATTGTTAAAGATTTATTTATTTATTTGAAAGTCAGAGTTACACAGAGAGAGAAGGACAGGCAGAGAGAGAGAGGTCTTCCATCCAATGGTTCACTCCCCTATTGGCCACGATGGCCGGAGCTGCGCCGATCCAAAGCCAGGAGCCAGGAGCTTCTTCCGAGTCTCCCACATGGGTGCAGGGGCTCAAGGACTTGGGCCATCTTCTACTGCTTTCCCAGGCCATAGCAGAGAGCTGGATCGGAAGTGGAGCAGCCAGAACTTGAACCAGCACCCATAGTGATGCCAGCACTGCAGGCAGCGGCTTTACCCATTACGCCACAGTGCTGGCCTCTCTAAGGTCTTAAAATCTCAAATTGTCATGGCTCCGTGGATGCCAGTTGTGCAAAATTTGCAACAATCTTGCTTATCCACTTCATAGACATTTGAGTGATGCTGTTCTGGTACAGCGCCTCCAGGGCCCTGTTGCAGTCTTTGGTCATGGCTTTCTTGTCTGTGTTGCAAAAGCGTTCCATGGCAGACATATTGCACTGGGTGCTCTGTTTTGGAATGTCCAGCTTGGAGATAAAGGTCAGGCAGCTGCGGTCATCATAGTTAAAGAACACTGGGCAGCAGTCATGGCCAGCAGCTACAGTGCTATTATCTGAGACAAAGTTCACACTGAGGAGTGGCAGGAACTTGGTTTTCAGAGTGGAGACCTGCACGCTTTTTGATGCATCCACAATGGATACAGTGCTATGACTGGCCCAAGCCAGGAGATTTCCACTGGCAGAGAAACTGACCCTGTGGACCTAGCCACCAATAGCACTGTCACCAGACTATGACAGCAGCTGACCAAAAGGCATCTTGCTGCTCCAGGGAATACTGGCTGGCTTTTCATCCATTTCTTTAATGTAGGCAGAAAACACTCAGCATTTGAAGTTACAGGTTCTTGCTGCCAGCAAAACACTGTTTAGATGCCGGTCCAAGCTGAGGACTGTGGAGTGTTTTGGCTTTTTGATGTGTTTGCTTACATACCATTCATTTTCAGACTCAAGTAACAAACAGAAATGAATTGTGCTCCACTTCCCACAGCAAATTTGTTCTCCAGGGAGGACTGCATCACAAAAGTTAACACACAGTTAATCCTCAGGATCACTAGGGTTGGCTTTCAGATTCCAACTTTCTGACTCCACACATAGGCTGCAAGTGAGGATGTGGTTGCTCTTGGGAGTCCAGTAAATACCTGTGATGTGTCCATTGTGCTCCTTGACTTCATGAGCTTTCACCTGTTGGCTCCTGTTCTTGTAGATATGCAAGTTATGACTACTGGGGCTAAGGCAATCTGAGTACAATCCCTGTTCCAGCCATGACAGGTTATTGGCTCTAGTAAAAACTGATGCAGAGACATTATTCTTAGTGTTTTCAAAGGATAGAAGGCTGGGATTTGGAGGTGTGGAAGGAAACCATGCTTTTTATGTGTCAGAAATAATTAAATATTTACAAGGATGAGTGTTTGATGTTTCCTACTTTTTAAATAGAAGCACAAAAATTTGGGCCAGCGCCGCGGCTCACTAGGCTAATCCTCCGCCTTGCGGCGCCGGCACACCAGGTTCTAGTCCCGGTCGCGGCGCCAGATTCTGTCCCGGTTGCCCCTCTTCCAGGCCAGCTCTCTGCTGTGGCCAGGGAGTGCAGTGGAGGATGGCCCAAGTGCTTGCGCCCTGCACCCCATGGGAGACCAAGAGAAGTACTTGGCTCCTGCCATCGGATCAGCATGGTGTGCCGGCCGCGGCGGCCATTGGAGGGTGAACCAACAGCAAAAGGAAGACCTTTCTCTCTGTCTCTCTCTCTCACTGTCCACTCTGCCAGTCAAAAAATAAAAAAATAAATAAAATAAAAAAATAAAAAAAAGAAGCACAAATTTTAAATTTTAACTTTGGTTTATGAAATCATCTCATAAGCGCTTTTATTAATAATAGTCACCAATATTTTTTTACTTTCTTCAGAAAAAAATTATAACATGTATAGAAGTTCTTCAATTAGGTTGTCAGTAGTCTACAACTTAATCTTTAAGTTTAAACAAAACAATTTGTTGCGATTAATTAATGATGACAGGGAGCTATCCCCTTCATTTCGGCTTTGGGATACACATTCCTATGATATTAAGATAATACAAAAATATGTCAGGATAGGAAGTAATCATTTTTGGATGTTGGATTCATCCTTCAAAATAATTATCCTGCATTTTGTATCATTGATGAATTCTGAGCACTGAGGACATTATACTTATAGCTGTGTATCAATCTGCTGATTATATTTCACATATAATTAAAAACAACTAAAAGATTTGAGTATATTTTTGAATTTTGACTCAATTGTAAAAAGGTAATAACATACTATAATGCCAAAGGAAGTATATAATTGTAATTTAATGAACAACTAATAGCTCTTTTTAATAAATAACTAAATATATGGTAGATTAATATATTTATCAATAGATAGAAAGAGGCAACAAGACATAGATCCTAGTTCCACTTCCCTACCAACTATTTCTGTAATTTTGAGTAAATGTTTTTGACTGCTTGTGCTTCAGTTGTCTCATCCATAAACCAACGAGGCAAATCCACTAACGTCTCTACCAGCTCTACCATTTTATGGTATATAACTCTAATCTCTTTAGCATCATAATATTGGTAAGGAAATAGTGGAACTTTGAGTACTCAGGAAGAACCCATGAAAAACCCAACAAAACACCAAATTTTTGATTTCCATGAATCTACTAATGAAAAAATGAATGACACTAGTCCCTCACTTATAAAACTAAAGCATGAACAATTAGCTGATAGGGTTACAGTTATTAAATAATAAAATCATATAATCGACACATAGATGATCACTTTTTTATTTCAGAGTAGTTTGAAATTTACAAAACAAAAATTGTGAAGTAGTAGTACAAAGATTTCCCATGTGCCCCACACCAAGCTTTCCCTACATTTTTGTTATACTCCTATTCCTCCTAACTCTGTGGCCTCTAGTAATTAATATTCTGTGTTCTGGTTGGGGCATTTTGTTTTGTTTTTAGCTCCTAAGTATGAGGGAGAACATGGGATATTTGTCTTTCTGTGTCTTCCTTCTTTTCACTCAACATCATGTGTTTCAATTCTATCCATTTTGCTCCAAGTGACAAGATTTCCTTCTTTCTTATGGTTGAATAGTATTTCCATATATGTACCACATTTTCCGATGATGGACACCATGTTTGAATCCATATTTTGGATATTGTAAATAGTGATGTGATAAACATGATGTTAGTTATCTCTTTGATACAATGATTTAATGTCTTTTGGATATATACCTAGCAGTGGGAATGCTGGAGCAAATGGCAGATCTATTGGTGGTAAATTTTTTAACATGAATATATTTTTCAATGGCTGAAAAGTACTTCAAATATGCCTTATAAATAAATAATAATTAATTTTAAAACTATTCTTAGTATTTCTTGTGCTTCATTTATTTTCAAGAATTTGATGTTTATATACTCATTTTCTATAATTAACAAAATAAATACCTCAACTGCAGAGCTTTGTGATCAAGAATGAAACTGTTAAATGAATTATGCTTCAAAATTATGTCAGTTGTTGAAAAGAATCTGTTTCCTCACTATATATGACATGTTCAAGGACTTAGATATTTTGAGCAGGCAGACAAGTCTTATATGACAATACTATTGTTTTCTTTTCAGGAAACCCTGATAGATTGGTGTGATGAAAAGGAGCTTAATTTAATATTAACAACTGGAGGAACAGGGTTCGCACCACGAGATGTCACCCCAGAGGTAAGATGGTACATGTCTTTCTCATATTCAAGGAGTAGACTAATAATGATTTTTGAATCCTCTTTACTATTTTTATATTATTTTTATGATTTTGCTAGGCAGAACAAATGACTTGTGGTTCTAAGAATATAAAAATATGGATGTCGAAGAGTAATTATGAAAAAACTTATTTCTGGACTTTTTCCTTTGGACTTAAACTAGAATGATACATTATAAGGAAGATTGAACTAGTCCAGAAGGTAATTCTTCATTTGCTTGGTGGTCTACAATGTCAGGTAAATGTAAGACACATTGCCAAAAAAAGTGATAGCAGAATTTTTTAACATGGCATCTAGTCTGATGTTCTTTGTCAAAATAATTCAAAACTGTATCCTCTCCCTAAGTTGCCCTTGTCATTTTTCTCAATGTAGTTGGATATTGCAATAGAATATTTATACCAAATGCACAGTACTCTTGGTGAATTCTAAATGTGAACTACATTTAAATGAAAAATTAAATTAAAAAAAACAAAATTAATATCTAGGCTTCATGCCACAAGAATCACCGTCAAACTTGACACAGAAATAAAAATTATGGTAGGAATGAAGAGTAAGTAGTATTCATTAATAACTGGGAGCAGTGTCTTTATTTTCTCTTTTAAGGAATCTGTAAATTTCAGGTGCCACTTAAGAGGCATGGAAACTTAAATTACCACTTGTGATAGTTTCCTTTACCCCCCCCCCCAATGTGTTTCTTGACTTAGTTTCAACTTAACGTTAATTGTATGCTTCTATTCTCAAATTAGCACGTTGTGTCTACTATCTTACCAGTAGCAAGATACTTAATGCTCTGCATCTGCTATATAATTACTGTCTTTTTTTATGCTAGTATTGTGGTTTTCACACTAGCATGCATCAGAATCAACCAAATTGCTAAACGCTAACCCTAGGATATCTGATTCAATAAATCTGTAGTGAGAATTTCTGTTTCCAGTGGGGTCCCAGTTGACACAGATATTGCAAATTCCATAGGCTGTACTTTTAAACTTTGGGAACCACTACTGTAGTATATGAAAATACATTTTTAAACTAGTTTAAATATTTTCTATCCTGTGCAAAAAAAAAACATGGTACCTAAGTTTTATATATTGTTATAATTCGGTTTACAAAGAAAATAGTTTTGCTTTTAAAGCAATTGGAAGAGTTTTATCCAGAGTTTCATTAACCTCAACTGCATAAGTAAGCTCATTAATGCACAATTTATTTGGCTTCTAAGTCCTAACAGGAAATGGTCCTTTGGACAATTTTAAATTTCTTTGCTAGTATGAGACAAACTAAAAAATAATTTGAGAGGGAAGCTATCTCCTGCAAAGGTGTGTTTGTGCTTTGTTTTGTTGATAATTGACTATGTATGTGAAGACATTGATTTCTTGAGTCTAAGTGTTGTGTTAAGTGTTTGAAGTAAATGACTTTCAGTTTTTATATCCCTATGTTTTGTATAATGGTTGAAGTTTCATATTACTACTAATTTTCTACTATAAAAATGGAGAAATTTTACCATAGATTACTTTCACAATAAGTAATAACATTATTTTTAATTACAAGGAATAATTCATATCATGTTATTTTAGTTAATACCAAAATGCTAGATTGAAAATCCAAACATTTTAATTCTGGCTCTGTGCTTACTGATAAGGTGACCATAGAATGTAATTATTTTTAGCTACACATCTAATACCATGTGTGAGCCTTTTTTTTTTTTTCCCCACACCAGTCAGTTCTCTAACTCTCCAGATATCAAATGTCCCTCATTCCGTTTCAATTCAATTCTGACACTACCCACCTGGAATTAGAATCAGTTCCTACAGGTTTAAAGGCAGAAACCCACAAGACTACCTTTACTTCAGATTCTAGTCACAAGTACCCTGGAAATCCATATTTCTGTCCTTCTTGGCTACAAAGTCTGTGATTTCCACAATCTCCTCCCTTTCAGATTTGGTAAGTTGCTAGAATGGCTAACACCACTCTGGAAAATACCTTCTTCACTATTACTGATGTATTATACAGGGTAAAACTCAGGAGCAGCAGGTGGAAGTGATGCGTATGGCAAAGTATGGGGAAGAGGTTGAGCAGAAGTTCTGTGCCCTCCCCAATGATGAAACTCTTCTAGCACCTCATTGTTCACAAATCCAGGAGCTGTAAGAATGGCATTGTTCAAGAGCTTTGGTAGAGCTCAGTCTCCCACACTACCCTCAGTGAGTGTGGCTAAAGCTGATGTTTGTGGTGAGCAGGATCATCCTGAAGCCTCAGGTTAAGTCACTGGCAGAAACTCATGTATGTTCTAAGGAGATTTATTATGAGTAACAAAGACATTCAGATTAATCAGGAAATTCCATGTGTTTGATGAATCTGGATCAGGAATGAAGAACAAAAAAATACACATTTTTGTGCTATACCACAATAGACTAATCATTTAAGCACTCTGTGTTTAGTTCCCTATAATCTGAGGAAAATGAAAGTGCCTACTGACCAGGGTGGCAATGGGTAATCAATAAGAGCTAACTATTCTTGACATTTTATAGAAGAATTAACTTACAAGGCTTAAATATTTTTATTATTCATGTAATTAACAAATAATCTATGAAATCTTCACTGTTTTCTTAAATCATTTGTTCATTTTGATGTAGTTAGCTTCATTTTTTATTTTTTCCCATCTTCATATATATCAGAAATTTTCAAATTATGCTATTTTAGTATCTTTATTTTTCTTTCCTTTTGGGGGCATGGGTGCTACTTTTTGAGAAAAGCTTATCTCCATGGTCTTGTATGTTTCATGATATCAGAAATCAAGCAGTCCTTTATTTTTAAATAAACTTTTCAGTTACTTGAAAACTATAAGGTGTTCCTGTATTCAAATATGGCTATAACAGCTGTGAATAAAGTTGTACTAGGATTTTTTAAGGGAGTTAAAAGTATTCCTAAATGTGTCTTCTCTAGTGTCTACTTTTGAAAATAAGCAATTTATCTGATTGTTAATAATATAATTTTTAATAGGTTTACCTCATGTCATATATACAAATATTCATACATTTGATTTAGATAGATATGGCAAAAATCTGTGTAACTGTTAAACCTTTAAAAAATAAACTTTAAAGTAATATAAGGCCACCAAAATATTTCTACTAATTTTGCATTTTCCTTATATTGTTAATTAGTTGCTATTTTTATAAGATCTAAAAGCAAATACTGGCATGTTGAATAAGAATTTACAAATATAATTCTGGATCAGAATTATATAGTTATTTGTCTTTATTGTCTTTATTGATTGTTGTGCCTAACATTACCAGTATTCAATTTAGAATTAGAGATATTTTTAAATAGGATCATAATTTTTGATAGAAAACATAATTATTAATTTGATCAAGATAGACTAATGTAAAACTTCTCCTTTAAGTTGGTAATATGCAAAATTTACATTTAGTATTGGTCAATAATTGGGTTGATCGACTAACATAAAGGATATTTGTTTATGGAATGTTTTGTTAGAGAAAAATGAGGGACATGATAAAAATGAAATAAATGAAGCAATTTAAATTATTGTCAATGGATATGAACTCTGAAAAAAAGTAAAAAGTTTGACTAGTTTAAATTTTCCAAGGAGAATGAAATAGCAAATTTATTGAGGGTTATCATTTTGTACATATTTTATAGAAATAAAACTAATAGAATTGATTTTCCAAAATTAGGAGTTTCTTTCTATTTTTAGGCCTTCTGTCATAGAATATGGTTCATCTGATAGTTATAGTACTACTAGCCTTCTCCCTGCCACTAAAATGAGCTGCCATCAAAGCTTATATATAACAGCATAATATTCCATGTTCTTAGTTTTATTTTGATATGGAAAGCTTTATTTTTTGACACTACCTTTCATTTTCACGATCAGGTGAAGGTTGAGTAATTTGTTGTCATTGGTGAAATGCTAGTAATTATGCATTATTCTAGAATAGACTAAAAGATTGAGACATTTATAAAAGAGTATCTGTAATTATAAAAAAGTAATTATATGTTATAGTAAATTAGAAACTATAAAACTAATATTTATAAGGTAAGACATAATTTTCAGCACTTTTGGAATACTAGGCCATACCAGAATTCAGGATTATATACTAATGTATTATTTTAATCATAAATTAAAGAGTTAAATATAACCCAGAATACTTGTGTCCAATCCATCCACTCATTCATTCATCAAGCTTTTTATTTTTCATTCTTAATATGTATGCAACATCATGCTGGGTTCCAGAGTTCAAGAACTGATAATACACAGTCCATATACCCAGAAGCCCCTAAGCTGTCACAGAGTTGATAAAGTAGCCCACAGGCCAAATCTAGCCTTTCACCTGTTCTCCATGGCCTGTAAGTGAATAATATATTTTACATATTTAAATGAATGAGAAAAAAGCAGAAAGAGAATAATACTGTGACATGTGAGAATTATTTGAAATTTAAATTTTAAATGTCCGTAAATGAAGGTTTACTAGAACACAGATATATTTCTTCATTTATGCATTATCTGTGCTTATAGCAGCAGAATTGAATAGTTTCAAAAAACTGTATTTCCTGTAAAGCCTGAAATATTTTCCATCTGACTCTTTGCTGAAAAGTTTAGTAATCTCTAGTCTGTTGGATGGCAAAAAGTCATCCTTACTCATTTTTTAAATTTTCTGCATTGATTTTAAATGTTTTACTTTTAGATGACAGAAAAAGAAACTGTATACTAGTACGTTGAAGTGTAGCACACCATTATCATAATATAGTGTAACACAAATAAAATATACCTTATTACATATAATATGTAAAATTTTGAACTTTTAAAAATGAATAAATGAATTTATTATACAGTAAGTAATATCTCTTAAAAAGTTTTTAAACAAGTGTTCTTCACAAAGCCTCCTAACAAAAATGTGTTGGTGTAATTCATCATTACTAAATTACTAAATAATGATGTAATTTGTCATTACT